TAGTTAGTGTGTGCTGGACCCGGGCAGGAAAGAAATACATCCAGCTCCATGTGCAGTGGCAACTGCTTGTCTGTTTCACTTACTTAGCCAGCACTTCTAAACCTGCACACCTCCCCTCTTCACAAAGGTTCCTTTGCCACCCTCTATCCCTACCCTAGAGCAGATACTCCAGCCTAGATCTACAGACTCTACTAAAGACTACACCCGAATCTAGTAGTATTACCTGGTCCAAAAGACTTACAACATGTGGACATTGTATGTGATTCTTGTGTTTGTCTAGTGAGAGAAGGGTTGTATTCAGAAAGAATGACCAGTAGATGGGGCCAGTGAGTCGGTTTGGCAGGTAAAGGTGTTTGCGCCAAGCCCGATGACCTGAGTTCAAGCCCCAGCACTTCCACTCTCCAGGCTGGCCCAAGGGCATTGCTCCCAGCTAACTCTTATTGTTTGGGAGGTAGTAATAAGAACAGCAGGGCCTCATTCGACTTCTTTTCCTTGGGGTTGCATTTTTAAAATAGCTTGTATTAAAGCACAATTTGCAAAATTAAGAACGCATTTGATACGGATTTGAAAGCATCACAGTGTAAATGACGTCGTCACCGCATCCACTCCACGTCATCACCGTATCCACTCCACAGTCTGTAAATGACGTCATCACCGCATCCACTCCACAGTCTGTAAATGACGTCATCACCGCATCCACTCCACAGTCTGTAAATGACGTCATTACCGCATCCACTCCACAGTCTGTAAATGACGTCGTCACCGCATCCACTCCACAGTCTGTAAATGACGTCATCACCGCATCCACTCCACAGTCTGTAAATGACGTCATCACCGTATCCACTCCACAGTCTGTAAATGACGTCATCACTGTATCCACTCCACAGTCGGTGTAAATGATGTCACCGCATCCACTCCACAGTCTGTAAATGACGTCATCACTGCATCCACTCCACAGCTGTCTTTCCACTCCTGTCCTCAGACAGCCACCGAGCTTTATAAAAATGGACCTGGATTTGTTTCTGCGGTTCATCTATGAGCACCAACAACTTCCTCTCGCCTTCCTTTCCTCCTGTGCTGACAGTCCAGCTTGGAACTTCGTGCAGACTGGGCAAGCACCGAGCCTTCTTGATTCTTTGTATTGCTAGGATGTGCTGCAATTTGCTTATCCATTTACCTGTGATAGGCATTGGAATTGTTCTCAGCTTTTGAGTATGATAAAGTAGGGATAGTAAGGATGAGCTTTTTTTTTTAAAGCAGCGTTTCTCTGTAACTGTCCTAGCTGTCCTGGAACTTGCTCTGTAGATCAGGCTGGCCTCAAACTCACAGAGATCCTCCTGCCTCTGCCTCCTGAGTATTGGGATTAAAGGTGTGTGCCACCATGCTAGGCCCAGATGAACTTTTTCCTGCAAGTTTTCTTTCTAAGTGTGTGTGTGTGTGTGTGTGTGTGTGTGTGTGTGTGTGTGTTGGTGTTTTATCTGCATGGATATCTGTGTGTCATATGTGTGCCTGGTGCCCACAGAGACTGAACGATGGTGTCAGTTGTCCCTGAACTGGAGTTACTGACAGTAATGAGCCCCCTGAGTGCTGGGAATTGAGCCTGTGTCTTTAAGGGCAGCCAGTGCGTCGGCTGAACCACCTCCTGAGAGTCTCAAGGATTTTGTTTGTTGTCCCTGGCATTTTACATTTCCGTTTAGTGGACCTGTTTACTTTGCTTTCTCTGTACTTGGGGAGGGCTCTTTGCACTGTTCAGTCCACTGGCTCCTCCTGTTCTGTTGTCTTGCTTTACTGGGAATTGAATGAGGGTTGGGAGATTCTCTGTGCAAGGCAAGGCTCTCTGCTCTACCACTGGACAGCAAGCCCAACCCCAGCTGTTTTTTTGTTTTCTGAGATGGCTTCATATTGTTCAAAATGGCCCTAAACTGCCCCCTCTTGAGCGCTGGGCTTGTAGGCACACGTGACTATGCCCTGCCCTTTTGGAGACTTCTTTGGTAGATACAGCACTTCTGAGTCTCACTCCTGATGCCACTAATGTTTATTTTACACTGTCCAGCCCCCCCCCCCCAGCTGTTTTGGTTTTCTAAGACAGGGTTTCCTCTGTGTAACTTGCTCTATAGATCAGGTTGGCCTCAAACTCAGTTTTGCCTGCGTCTGCTTCTGCTTCCCGAGTGCTGGGATTAAAAGCAGTGCTTTCTCCCTATTTTTAGTCCTTTCTCCCCTCCTTGTTGAGTCTACCTGTGGTTCTGTCTGCCTTGTCCCCACAGGGTTCCTATTTCCAGAGTCTCCATGCCCCTTTCTTGGATTGTTCATGAACTGAGAGGAGTGTTCTTTTCTCTAGATTCCATCTTTGGAACTTGGGGGTTTGTTCTGGTTCTTTAGTGAACTTGCTTCTTCCGTTTACCAAGCCTGCATTCTTTTCAGAACATTTCTCACATGTCATCATTAGAGGGAATGTCTGGAAGGAAGATGGCAGTTTCTGCCTCCGGTGGTTTTAGGCCCCATGTACTGTAGTAAGAATTACTACACCGCGATATCCCCATCTGCAGTCTCCTCTCCCACCTGCCTCTGTATTGCTTAGGGATTTCTCATGACTTTCAGTTCTGTGTACTTGTTCAGCTACAGTTTATAATTGCATACTCTTTCTCCTGTTTTAAGGGATTCAGTTGGGGAGGCACTAACATGTGACCTAGGTCCTGTTCCTTCAGTCTGACTTCCTGAGGCAGACTTGTCACGGCAGTCCTGTGAGGGCATGATCACCGATGAGGAAGGAACCTGATGCCTTTTAGGTGTATTTCCTCCCCTAGATTACAGTTTGTATGGTGTATGTCAGCCGGTTGTTGACCTGGGGAAGACTGTGCAGGCATGGTGTGGGGGTGGTGTTTGGTGGAGACAAGGTGTGTGTGTGGGGGGGATGCTAAAAGTGGGATTTGGTCTGCTGCCTGGATCCACATGCAAAGAGAGACCTGACTCTTCTCAAATTATCCTCTGACTTCTATCTGCACACCATGCCCCCTATAGATGAAGAAATGTAATTAAATAATTCTTAAATTGAGATGTGCTTCAAATACATAGTATCTGTGAATTTGAGGCCACTCTGGTCTACATAGTGAGTTCTAGGACAGCCAGGGCTACATAGTGAGTCTCAAAAGGCAAGGAAACAAAAAACAAAGTTTCAAAGTCTGTAAACATTCAAGTATTTGGTGTTTGTTGTAATTCTGGCTGGCCTGGAGTGTGTAGAAATCTGCCTGCCTCTGTCTCCTAAGTGTGAGATCAAAGGTGTGCGCCACTGTGTCCCGCTGTATATGCTCTTTTCAAAAGCATATTCCTACTAGTGGGTCATATTGTATCTCCCCATTTAAATTCCATTTTATACAATTTCAACAGCAGTGCCCACTCTCTGCCCCTTCCCTACACTTGTTACATTCTCTCCTGGTTTAACATGTTTCTGCAGTGACTGATAATGTGGGGGCATCTCTTCATGTGTCTGTAGATAGTAGTGGTACAACCATGTATGCATATTCTCTTTGGAGAGACGTCTGAATTCTTGGTCCCTTTTCCCTTGGGTTGTTTGACTGGGCAATTTAGATCTTCATACATTGCAGACATTAGAGCATAGCCATATAATGACTCTCACAAATGCTTTCTTCCATTGTGGTGGGTGTCTTTTCATTTTCTTTAAATTAAAAAAAAGAGTTGTTTTATTTTTCTGTTACGTGTGTGTTTTATATGAGTGTGTGTTGGCACCCAAAGAAGCCAGAAGAAGATGTCAGGTCCCTTGGAACGGAGTTACAGGTGGTTGTGAGCTGCCCTGCTTAGGTGCTTGGAACTGCATTCTGGTCTTCTGTAACAGCATTAAGTAGTTTTAACTGCTAAGCCATCTCTCCAGTGCTCATCTTTTAAAAATTTTGATGATGTGTAGTGTCCCTCTTTCTCTGTGGCTATTTGTACATGGTTATATTAAGGAACAACTACCTAATCTAAGTTCTACCTACATTAAGAGCTTAGTTTAACTCCTAAGTTGAGCTGTTGGTCCATTTCGAGTTAGCCTGTATGCAGTCTCAGGTAAAGGTGTTTGTATGTAGATGATCAGTTGGCCCAGCATCCTTGGCTGATTGAGTCTTCAAGCCTTGTAGCTTAGGCTGGCCTAGACCTTGTGATCCTCCTGACTTGGCCTCCCAAGTGTTGGAATTATAGGTATATATCACTACACATGCTTGAGTCTTAACTATATTAGGTTCTTGATTTCATTTAACTATCATAACAGACATGAGACATATTTATATTGTCAATTACATTTTATGGAATTTTAAAACTGATTTTTTAAAGGATGATTTTATTTTTATTTTTTTAAATTATGTATATATACATACATATGTCTGAGTGAGGGTTTGTGCACGTGAGTGTGGTTCCCACAGAGTCAGGAAGAGAAGGCTGGATCCCCTGGAGCTGGTGCAGTGACCCTCTGACGGAGTGCTGGGAACTCTACCTCAGTCCTCTAAGAGCAGCCCCTGAGCTATCACCCCAGCCTTATTTAATTTAAACCTTCATAGCTGTCTGTGGTTATATGGATAATGGGAACTGAAGTGGAAAGTTCCGGGAGACAGGTCCGAGTCTCATGTGCTCTCTCACAGTCTGAGTCGGAGGCCTATGGTCTGTGTCTGTGTTCTGGGCTGTGAGGTCCACGAGGACACTAGCGGGGGAGAGTTGCCAAGTGCATAGACTGATGGCCGTGTAGGGAGGGTGTGGCTAAAGTCCTGAGTTCTTCTTCGAGCAGTGAGCTCCAGGAAGCCTGTGCTTTTGTATTCCAGAGTCCCTGCTTGGGATGCCAAGCCACACAATGGGACTCTGCCCTTCCGGGGTATGTGAGGGGCATAGGGCGGTTTTCGGGGTTCTTATGTCCCCAAGCTGTCCCTCTGGGTGACAGACATCTGAGGTGGAAGCGACACTCCCAGTTGGCTGCCGTGAAGGACTCACCCTGTCCTGTCCTGTGGTTTCTCCAGTTCTGGACTTCAGCGACCCCTTCAGCACCGAGGTGAAACCCAGAATCCTGCTCATGGGTCTCAGGAGGAGTGGCAAGTCGTCCATACAGAAAGTCGTCTTTCACAAAATGTCCCCGAGTGAGACCCTGTTCCTGGAGAGCACCAACAAGATCTGCAGGGAAGACGTCTCCAACAGCTCCTTTGTCAACTTTCAGATTTGGGACTTCCCGGGGCAGATTGACTTTTTTGACCCCACCTTTGACTATGAGATGATCTTCCGTGGAACGGGGGCATTGATCTTTGTCATCGACTCCCAGGTATGTAGAGTCTCATCCCAGGCAGAGTCACCTCCCCACATTCATTGTGTGTGTGTGTGTGTGTGTGTGTGCGTGTGATGCACATGTAAATGTGTGTGTACACCATAGCCCACGTGTGTGTGTGGGGGGGGTCAGAGGGCATCTCTCCAGAGTTGTCTCTCCTGCACCTGTGGGTTCAGAGGATCAAGCCCAGGTTGTCAGGTCTGAACCTGGCGCCTTTACCTGCTGAGTCATCCTGTTGGCCCAGTGTTTAGGTTTTTAAATCTGCGATAGACCCTTCTATCAAACAAGGATTTCTCAGAGCCCTCAAGACTCTGCAGGAGAAAAGACTCCCTGTCCAGTCATAGCCCAAACTCACTTAGCCCCTAAGATCATGTGCCTGGTGTGGTAGTTTGAGGTATGGCTTTGTTGAAGCAAGTATGGCCTTGTTGGAGGAAGTGTGTCACTGTGGAGGCGGGCTTTGGGGTGTCATATATGTTCAAGCCACACCTAGTATTTCAGACTACTTCCTGTTGGCCTGAATATCAAGATGTAAAACTCTCAGCATCTTCTCCACACCACGTCTGCCTGCATGCTGCCTTGTCTCATCATGTTGACAATGGACTGAATCTCTGAAATTGTAAACCACCCAGCTAAGTGTTTTCATTTACAAGAGTTCTTGTGGTCATGGTGTCTCTTCACAGCAATAGAAACCCTAACTAAGAAACCTGGGAATCTTCATAGCCACAGGGCAGATCCCAAAAGACATATGGAATGATGACAGTTTCTCTGCAATAAAAATGTACTTAGAAGGTTACATAATACAATATTAATTTTCAAAGTAGATAAAATTCTAAGTGGAAATTTTATTCTGAATTAGAGTATTGTTCATTTTTAATTGATCATTTTATCTGGTTAGATGTTTCACCCATATGCATGTCTATGAACAACCTTTGTACCTGGTACCTGCAAAGGCCAGAAGATAATTTCAGATCCCCTGGAACTGGATTTACAGACAGGTGTGAGTTGCCATGGGAATTGAACCTGGGTCCTCTGAAAGAGCAACCAGTGCTCCTAGCCACTGAGCCATCTCTTCAGCCCTTGAATCAAATTATATACTTGATTATTATATATATATATATTTGATTATTATAACTCTTGTATTTTGTGGGGACTATTAAAATGTGAGGTAAGCATCTTGTAAGAAGATGGATATTTGATTTATTTTTCACACTGCACATCTGTGTTTGAATAACCAGTTCTGTTTTCCTTCTTTGCTCCTGTAGCTGTGAGTACTGAGAAATGTGTTCACATAGGTAAGCCGGGGATATAGGATGAGTTTTGTCATAGCATTTACATAAGAATTTAAAATCCTTCCAAATGTGTCTCCTGCATTATCTAGTTTTCTGTCATAACAATTATATTTTAGTAGTTTATTAGCAGTCCTGTGTAGTCCTCCTTCAGCTTGGTTATAAGTGAAGAGTAGGGCACCATTGGCTGGTGAGGAGCCCGTTCCCCAGCCATTAGTAATTTCTCCATCCTCTCCATGTGTGGGACTAGCCACTGGGCTCAGTGGGAAGAGGAGGAAGGGAAATCAGGCTGGCCGGTGCTGGGGAGGTTGTGTAAGGTTGAGGCCTTAGAGTGTGTCTGAGATTGTGGTGCAGGCAGGAGGCTTTCCCAGGTCCAAAGGGAGCAGGCTCTCTAGAGAGTGTCAAACCCAGTCTAGGGTGGGCGGGGTTAGGGAGTTCCCTGAAATAGACTGCCCCCCCATCAGGTCAGCCTTCCAGGGTGTGGAATACAGAAGGAGCATCTTTAGCTCCAGGAGGCTGCACGGTGTGACCAGCTCTGAGAACAGGGTACTGAATTCATCCTTCTGTCAATGGGAGGTCTGTCAAGGGAGAGGCTGAAAGCTAATACCAGACCAGTGATGGGTTCACCAGGCCCACGAGAGCTTGTGCATAGACCTTTGACATGCCGGGCTGCTGGGAGCTGCTCTCCTGGCACTCACTCCAACTTGTACGGACCTGTTTTCTGGCCTGTCTCCCTGTCTGCCAGCACTGTAAATCAGGGAGCTTAGAGCCCAGGGGAGTGGCTAAATGCCTGCATCCTGCCGGGCAGGGAACTCTGTCTTTCTGAGTCAAACCCATGCTGTTGTTTGTAGCTGTTTAAGTAGCTGCCTGTGAGTAAGTGGATTCCAATCAGAGCAAAATATCATTTCAGATGATGGCTTGGTAAATGCTCAGATACCGTATTGTGCGGTATAGCAGCTCCACTGCAAATCTGTCTAAGGCATTTATGTTACGGCTATAATTTAGCCCCAAATAGGTATATTTACTTATTTTTACTTTTAGTTGTTTATTTTATCTTTAATCATGTGTACATGTGTCTCAGTGTGTGGGTCTGCATGTGTATGTATGTCTGAGTGTGTGGGTTTGCATGTGTACATGTGTCTCACTGTGTGGTTCTGCATGTGGATGTGTATCCCGGAGTGTGGGTCTGCATGTGTATGTGTGTCTCAGTGTGTGGGTCTGCATGTGTATGTATGTCTCAGTGTGTGGGTCTGCATGTGTATGTGTGTCTTAGTGTGTGGGTCTGCATGTGTATGTGTGTCTCGGTGCGTGGGTCTGTATGTGTATGTATGTCTCAGTGTGTGGGTCTGCATGTGGATGTGTGTCCCGGAGTGTGGGTCTGCATGTGTATGTGTGTCTCACTGTGTGGGTTTGCATGTGTATGTGTGTCCCGGAGTGTGGGTCTGCATGTGTATGTGTGTCTCGGTGTGTGGGTCTGTATGTGTACATGTGTCTCACTGTGTGGGTCTGCATGTGTACGTGTGTATCGGTGTGTGGGTTTGCATGTGTACATGTGTCTCAGTGTGTGGGTCTGCATGTGGATGTGTGTCCCGGAGTGTGGGTCTGCATGTGTATGTGTGTCTCACTGTGTGGGTCTGCATGTGTATGTGTGTCTCAGTGTGTGGGTCTGCATGTGTATGTATGTCTCAGTGTGTGGGTTTGCATGTGTATGTGTGTCTCAGTGTGTGGGTCTGCATGTGTATGTGTGTCTCAGTGTGTGGGTCTGCATGTGTATGTGTGTCCCGGAGTGTGGGTCTGCGTGTGTATGTATGTCTCAGTGTGTGGGTCTGCATGTGTATGTGTGTCTCACTGTGTGGGTCTGCATGTGTATGTGTGTCTCACTGTGTGGGTCTGCATGTGTACGTGTGTCTCAGTGTGTGGGTCTGCATGTGTACGTATGTCTCAGTGTGTGGGTCTGCATGCGTATGTGTGTCTCAGTGTGTGGGTCTGCATGTGTATGTGTGTCTCGGTGTGTGGGTCTGCATGTGTATGTATGTCTCACTGTGTGGGTCTGCATGTGTATGTATGTCTCAGTGTGTGGGTCTGCATGCGTATGTGTGTCTCAGTGTGTGGGTCTGCATGTGTACGTATGTCTCAGTGTGTGGGTCTGCATGTGTATGTATGTCTCAGTGTGTGGGTCTGCATGCGTATGTGTGTCCCGGTGTGTGGGTCTGCATGTGTATGTGTGTCCCGGTGTGTGGGTCTGCATGTGTATGTGTGTCCCGGAGTATGGGTCTGCATGTGTATGTGTGTCTCAGTGTGTGGGTCTGCATGTGTACGTGTGTCTCGGTGTGTGGGTCTGCATGTGTACGTATGTCTCAGTGTGTGGGTCTGCATGTGTATGTGTGTCTCACTGTGTGGGTCTGCATGTGTACGTGTGTCTCAGTGTGTGGGTCTGCATGTGTACGTGTGTCTCAGTGTGTGGATCTCTGCACATGAGTACAGGTTCTTGCAGAGGCCAGAGACGTCTGCTCTCCTGGAAGCAGCATTGTAGGTGGTTGTGAGCTGCCCTGCTTAGGTGCTGGGAACTGGACTCTGGTCCTCTGCTAGAACAGCAGGTGTTCTTAACCACCACGACATCTCTCCAGCCCAAAGCTGCTTATTTTAGCCAGGCAGTTCTATTTAAACATAAAGTAGGCTTTTCAGTTAGGTTGGTAATTGTGGTTCTGTTTTGTGTGTATTTTTTTTAATTTACTGCAGGTCACAGGAAAGTCTATAATGTTTGAGAAAGATCTCCCTCCTTTTCCTTTCCTTCTTTCTTCCTTTTTCCTTCTTCCATGCCTTTTCTTTCTTTGAAACAGGGTCGCACACTGTTGCTCAGGCTGCACTTGAACTCACAGCAGCCTTCCTACCTTAGCCTCTTAGGGAATGCTGGGATTGCAGGCACAAGCATCTTGCCTTCCCTGTCCTGCCCCAAGACAAGGTCTCTCTACATAGTCTTGACTGTCCTGATACTCAATTATATAGACCAGGCTAGCCTCAAACTCACAGAGATCTGCAGGCCTCTGCCTTGCAGTTGCTGGGGTTAAAGTCATACCCAGACTCAAGTAACACTTATTAAAATAAGTAGGTGAGGGGTTGGCGAAATGGCTCAGTGGAGAAAGGTGTCAATGTCAAGCTTGACTATATGAGTTTGATCCCCAAGATTCACAATGGTAGAAAGAGAGAATTGACTCCTGCAAGTTGCCCTCTGACCTCTACACACATACCTAAACAAGCAAACAAATAAATGTCAAAACGATTGGGTGGGTTGGAAGTGTTGCCCAGAGCACTTACTTACTGTACATAATGCCCTGAGGTTGACCCCCCATACACACACACAAAGGAAAAACAGTGTTGAATGCTCTTGCAATTAATAACAATTAAGGAGCTTGAGAGATGGCTCAGCAGTTAAGAGCATTTCCTGCTGTTGCAGAGGGTCCAAGTTTGACTTCCAACCATCTGTAACTCCAGTTCCAGGGAATCCAGTGCCCTCTTCTGGATACTGAGGGCACTTCGTGCACATGGTGCACAGGCACATCTACAGACATGTCTCACACACATTAAAAAATCCTTTTAGATCTGCTGAGTGGTTTCAGAACCTAATATTCGTTGGGTAGAAGCAGTATGTATGCAAAAAGTGTTTGCAAGGATCTTACCTAACATTCCCAGGAGCGGGAAGAGGAAACTCTG